CAGGGCTGCGAGGCACTGAGCGCCGCCCTGGCCTCTCCCAACCGCATGGACGTAGCGAGTGCCAAAGAGGTTTCTCCGAGCGACGGGCAGGATCTGGGGCCTGAAGACGAGAAGTCTGAGGAGTCCCAGGAAAGACCGGAGAGTCCCAAAGAGTTTCTTGATTTGGACAACCACAACGCGGCCACAAAGAGGCAAAGCTCGGTGGCAGCGGGGGGGTTCCTCTATGGAGCACCCCCGCCGCACCTGGGTTCAGGGATGGGATTTGGTCCATCAGCTTTCCCTCCCCACGGGGTGATGCTACAGACTGGCTCTCCTTATGCATCCCGGCATCCTGCCAGTCATTTCCAGCCCAGGACGTATGGATCGCCCATGAATGCTCACCTGTCTCATCATCCGGCCTCCGGCCAGGCCAACGGCCTCTCTCAGGAGGGACCCCTGTACCGCTGCCGGGAGGAGAACATAGGTCACTTTCAGGCCTTGCTGATGGAGCAGAGAGGCAGTGGAGGTGGCATGGGGGGACCACCCCAGGACTTGTATAGACCCTCGGGGTAAGATCGTGTTTTCTGCGAGAAGGCAAGGCGGGAGGGGGGTGATGCCTGGGTGACGATAAGTGTTGGATATCCTTGAAAGGACATGAGTTGAAGTCAGAGGAGATGGCAAGTGCTGATGAGAGGCTAACAGATGACTCTTAGACCCTTGGAGTAAAAGGTCTTGTAGACCTTGCTGTAAGCTGGAGGAAGTCTTGTTGCAGCTCCTTAAAAACAAGTAGCAATAGCCATCGTGGAGACCTGTTAGCCTGTCCCATCCATCTCATCCCCACACCAGTGCTTTGTTTTATCTGACTGCTTTGTTAATGTATCCTCCAGGGTTGTGCATCTCTTAATCAAATGAGCTCTTACCATTTTCTCTGCAAGAATTTTATTGCATCTTTCTCATAGCGGGGCAGAGTAGCTAACTAAAGTTATGAACTTGTTATGAACTCCTTTACTTTAATGTTGCCCCCTTTTTCCCCTCCTCTTGCTTTGCCCTTCCTGTCTGTCTCAAATTTACCTCACAGAAAATTACTTCTCACTGAGATTGTGTGTATCACATTTTATTCCCAAGTGGAAGATTCTGCTACTCCAAAATGTCCCTGTTCAGATTTTATAAATGTGCTTTGACTGCTACTGTTTTGTCATAGTCCCAGCATGACAGTCCTTCTTCAAGTATTTGGGGGGCTTGGCTTACAACTAAGCCATTGGGGGGGTGGCGTGGATTAAAGGTTGTGTTTTGGGGGGAAGCCAGAAAGAAGAATACGCGAGATGCATGCTTGTATGCGAATGTTGTATGTATGCATTCAACCAAGTAGATGGGATTTGCTCTTGATGTTCATGTGCTAAAACTCTCTCCATTCAACCTGGCTCCAGAATGCAAATGCATCAGGCTCAAGTTCCCTTCCCGAAGATGCCTACAGCAACCATGTCCCGGGAAGATTTGACGCCACAAAAACCATCAGCCTTGCCTCTGGATCAAGTAAGGGCCACTAGAGAGAGCAGAGTTGAAATGCGAGTCTTTCTCTTCCCACCGGTTAAAGGAGTGAAGTGTCGGATGAGAGTGGGAAGTACTGGCGGAAGCTGGGAAGTGAACTACTGCTCTGCAGAGGAGTTGGGGATGTCTCTGTAGTCTTAGCTGACTGTTAAACATAACCTAGGCGGACCAATAGTGCTAGCTTTGAACTAGTGGCATGCAATCATGAGATTATTCCTTTCTAAAGCTGCCAGTTAAAGCCTCCAACTCTTTTTCTTCCTCTTCCAGAGCTAGTCCGAGGAAGGAAGAACCTCATGAAGACGAAAGCCACACGTGATTTGGACAAGGTGGAGGAGGGGCAGGCCTTCCTCCCACCCTCCCCTCGCCCGAGCAGCATGTAGCTTCCTGGGTCCGTGGAACATGGTGCCGCGACGGCTTTTGTGTTGGAAACCTGGAGCGGTGCTGGGCCCCAGCCAGCCGAGCAGCTGGCTCGCCACCACAGGGCGAGCATCGCAAACTAGTGGCTTTCTGTGACCGGAGACTGCGTCTCATTCAGGGTTTGAGGGATTTTTTTGGGTGGGGAGGGCGAGGGTGGGGGCGGAAACTTTCATTGACTGCTAAACTCAGGTATATTTTTCAGGGTGGAAGAGGATGATGATGGAATTTTACTTGTAGTATTAACGTGTGTGTTTTGGAGCTGGATCCAGTTTACAGAATTTAACCTGTTGCCTTTTTAAATAAATTTCTGTTGTTGGTGAATGTATTGTACATAATGGGGGAGGGGGTGGGCCCAGCTTGTAGTGGGCTTAGCACTGGAGGAATCCTTAACTGTTTACAATCATATCACACTGAAATCTTTCAGGATAAGGGTGAGGGTTTGAGGGGAGTGGGGAGAGGAGAGGGAACGTGTGATGGATGACTTGCTGTCCTCCTCCTTGTCCTCTGCAACCGAGACACAACCTGACGGTTGGTTGACTGAATAGCAGGAATTGCTCAGGAGCATAACGTGTCCTCCTCTTTCTCTTGTCTTCCTCCTCCTTCTCTCCTCACCCCCACATCCACCCTTCTGGATCCAGGGCCTGAGTGCACTTCCAGCTCCTGTCATCATGGGGGAACAAGGAAACCAGGACCAGGAATTGAAACCAGGACAGGACACTCATGGCATTGTCCCTTCTGCTAATATAGTACCCTTCTCCCTGCCTTTCTGGTAGAAGAAACGTATACTCTAGAAAACAGAAAATGGCGTAACTGGTCATCTTAGACTTCTTTCGGTGAAACCGGTGCAGCTGGGGGTGGAGCAGCACCTATTCAGTAGAACAAATTTTGTGCAAATCTTTACTGCCCTGCTGCCCAAGGAGAGGAGCTGAGTTCCCACCTTTCTTTCTCTGTCCCTTGGCTATATTCACTTCTTAGCAGCAGCGAAGCAGAAAGTACCCTGGGGTTCCTGACCACTCTTGTTGCCTGTGAAGTAGGAGCATGAGGCTGCTTTGGGGGAGCCGTTGGTTTGCTGCAGTGTGAGCCGTTTTTTGGCCTGTGGAGTTGGATTTGGCGTTTGCAAGTTGCAGGTGAATCAGAAAGCACTGATTCGAAATCAGACGTTAAGGTGGCATGGCTCAGGGGGTGAGGGATGAGAAGCCTGCGTGCTGGAGTTGACTTGGTTTACCTTTGTCATCACTGATGACATAGCAGCAAGTCCTACAGGGCTAGTGGCAGCTTCCCTCGGAGGCTGTGTGCAGTCTGCAAGGGCTTTCCTTACAGTTGCAGTACTGCACTGGGGAAGCCCTGCATGCCAGTGCTTCGCCAGGCACTGCCGTTCAAATGTAGGTTTGACAAATGAGTTCGGTAGGAATCTCATCTGCAGATGTTTATTCTTAAACCTAACAAGGAAATACAGCTGGCTGTTCTTGGGGAAGCTGGGGTAAAACAAGGTAGAGTTGCTACATGACAAGATGGGGCAGCAAAACTTGCTGGGACTGCAGCCCTAGTGCAGGCTGCTGGTTGCGCTGGGGGGACAGCAGTATGGTTAAAAGGAAGATGTACCAGTGTGTTGGACAAATTGTGCTAGCAAAAAAGCAGCAGCAGAAGCGAGGACAGAGCAGCATGCCCTTTAGTCTTAGGTACCAGCTAGGGGACTGTCTTTGTGCCCAGGTTTCTGGAGAATTTTTCTGGCTGCTTTGTTGTCTTGGATGGTGCCATCACCCCTATCTTTAGCTGGATTGCACTAGCATGCATGACTGTGCCGCCTTTATTCTGCTGTGTAGATCTACCATGTGCTGGCAAAGCTGTTTGAGCAAATGGCAGGTAGCATCTGACTGAGCCATTACTCCTTCTGTCCTAAGATTTTGGAAGCACAAAAAACCTAAAAGATGAGAAATATTCTTTCCTGAAATAGTTAGAACAAGGAAGGACTGCCACATTAGTGCTCTCTTAACAATGAGTCTCACTGCTCTGTTGCTGCAGCACTTTTGCCTCTGATGAGCTGTGTAGGGCCAAGGCATTTTCCAAGCCTAACAGGAGTTAAACTTCTTCATGCTGTTCCCACAAGCTTTTTTATAAACACAGTTCTCACTGCTGCAGCTAGCCTGTGAACTACAGGTGCTGTCTGCTTAGTCCAGTGAATTGCCTGGGACAGCTGGCTCCTCCGCAAAGGAAGACTTTAATATAATGTGAATTCCTTACAATATCTATATATAGATGCCATTAGATTATGAAAGGGAGGTGTTGGGGGTTTTTTATTCATTTGTGTTCATCTGTCAAGGAGCAATTGTCACTGGTGGATTGGTATAAACTGGAATAGATGATCCTGAAGGTTGTCCTTTGACTGAGAAGCAGGTAACTGCTCTCCCCAGCCGAGAACATTATGCTGTGGCTCATCCGAATTTGTCCCAGATCTGAGGGTCTGCTGCTGCCTCATCAGCTGGCAGTGGGTTTTCAAAGGTGCCGCAGCTTCTTGGAAATGCAGGTCTGGATCCTTCCCTGAATGGAGGTACTGAAGCAGTAGTAGGTATTTATGAAAAACTGTGCAAGTATAATTGCTCTTCAAGACAATAAACCTGGGAAAAATGAAAATGCAGTTGCTTCTCCTTGCAAAGCAATCTTTAGTTCATTGTAGATATAAAAATAATTTGAAATAGCACACTTAAAAATAGAGGAACTGTAAAATATAACTTGTAACAAAGTATTTGAAATTCTGGAAATGTGAATGTAGATTCTGTAAACAACCCCTGCTGTACTTCAGCCTGTCTTCTGTATCACAGACAGTTACCCGAATATTTGAACTGCCTTTCATTCAGCTCACTGTGAACTTTGTGGAACAGGAGGTTTTTAGAAGCTATATAAAAAAAAAAAAATCCAAACCAACCAAGCTGAAGCACTCTTGGCCTTCAGCTGGAACTGGCACTGAAAGAAAGGTTCTAGTGGTCGTGGTATCTGGATGAGTACCAAGCCCAGATCAAAACAGGCGACGAATAAGAAAGGCAACAATTGTTTGTGGTCTGCCTGGAGAGGGTAGTGGAGTGTTAGACAGTGATAGATACCCTGAGGATCCTGTAGGGAGTGGGCGACATGAAGATATTATCCCTTACCTGACATAATGGAAATCTGGGAGGAGGGTTTAACTTGCAGATGGTAGACAAAACAGAGTAGTGAAGCTGACTCCTCCTGGGAGGGTTTCTAGGTAAATGGCTTTTGATGTAGTCAGTAATTCTTATTAAAGTGACTAACAAGCTGCTGTTGTGAGGACACATGGTTTATATTAGAAAAGTACTAATATAGCGTAGGGGTAACTATAGCTGGGTTACAGGGATAGGGCTATCCCAGGGACAGGGTATGCTAAGAGAGCAAGCTGCTTGTGGAATCTGGAGTTTCCAGACTTTCAAATGCTTTGTTCATAAGTGTTTGGGTTGGTTGGTTTGGGTTTTTTTTTTTTCTTTTTATGATGATATCTAGAGATGCCCCAAAAATCAGAGCTCTATCTCACTAGGTACAATCTGAGCAAATCACAGAAAATTGGCACCCCTCAGAGGGTGCGTGGCTGGGAGCGGATTGCTGGGGTGAAACACCAGTGGAAATGCACAGGGAGAAGTAGAAAATGTGAATTTTATAGTTTATGGTTTCTCAGCCCATGCTGCGCAGGGCTGTTTTGTAGATATTGTGAAAGAGACAGGTTTAAGGAGGGATTTAGAACACACTAAAATGGCAGCTTTTTATGTACAGAGTGGTACTTTTTGCCATGGGTTGGCATACAGTGCAGGAGAAATGTAGCTGCATTTTAAAATATCCTGGCTTTTGAGTGCCATACTTGTGTCACTATCTTAAATAATATTTTAACAAAATACAGAGAAATTCTGGACTCTGGTTGGAATCCCTCTTTCTCATTCCCCAGCATTGTTGTAGTATAGTACGTTACCAGTTGGTCCTTCTTCAGCAAGCATCTTGAGCTAGTGACTTTGCAAAGTTTCCTGTAGCTATTACTTTTCCCATACGGAGGATGTGTTTTGCTGTAATTATGGATTTCATGTTAAATGAGACTATATAATATGTAGAACAAATACGATGTTGACTATGCTCGAGCATGCCAAAAATTTCCAATATTCTCAGAAAGAGCTTTGTATGCTACTCCGGGCTTTTTAGCATCTTGCTCTCCCCACTGCCTCACGCTTTGCAAGTGGTGTGTGGTGTTCCCAAGTTCCCAAGATGTTCAGTTGCCATTATAAATGCCATTGTATAAACTTCCCCTGGGACTCTGGAAGCTTCAGGCATCTTAAGCACTACAGGCCCTGGCAATTCAACTTAAGTATTTTAAGGCCAGTCACTGAGGCTTCACAGTGATTTTTAGCAGTGTCCAGTAGAAGTTTGCAGTCTATAAATTCCCACCAAACCACTCAGTAGCAATCCAAGGCACCAGCCTGCAATGAGGAGGACAAAAGAGGAAAGTAAATTTGAAGCTTCAAGGCCCAACTGGCTTGATTTGTGACTTTAAAGTACATGGAGACACTTTTCTTGGAAGAGCTTCTGATCCTTTCTTGTCTGCCAGATGCCTTTCCCATGCGGACTTTCTGAAACAAATCTCCTGCGTATATTTTTGTAAGTGTGGTTTCTCGAGGTCTTGGAGAGCTATCAGCTTCTTGATGTCTTATCTGAAAGCTAGTCACAGAGGCTGTCTTTCATTCTGCTGACTGAGGCAGTTCTCCTGCAGCTTCTCACCCCAACACTTCTTCATTTAAAATGAAAGTATAATTAGAAAACAACCTTCCTGGTTTTTCCGCTACTGATCTCTGTCAGTCTTCTGTGCATCTCTGTGTTCAGCCAGGGCTGTTGCTTTGCTCTTGATGGCTTTGTTCTGCTTTCCTTTTCTGAGGAGGTGGTATTGCCATGTGCATTGTGGAGTTTTGGAGAAGGTGCTGAACAGACTGATGGGGAAGAGCCATCCTGAGTGGTGGCTTGGAGAAGACAAACAGGGGAATTTGTGATGATGTGGTTGCCCCCGGTTCCCCTGGTTGCAGAGCAACCGTGCAACTGGGTCTGCCCTTAATCAGAGCAACCCCTTAAAAAGTTTTTACTGTGGTGCATTGGTAGTAGAGGAGTTCACTCTTGCAGAATTCCTGTTTCGCTTTAAGTCTGGCGTTGGTGGTTGAAGAGCAGGTGTGTGAGTGCCGTACCCTTTCTGTAAGGCCAAGATTGAGATAGCAGGCTATGAAAGTAGCGTTGCAGCTGCAGGCCATGTGACA